CCCAAATGAACGTCCTCCTACCTGAGAGGTCATGATGGATCAGGTCAGCGAAGTTGGGGTCGTCCCCCCACCAGAAGATCCAGAGCTCCCTTCGCCCCGGCCGCTGGTCCCGGCGCCACACGCTGAGCACGTCGGCCTTGAGGCAGCGGCTGAAGCTGCTCAGGATGGGATCCTCTTCCGTGACCGGGAAGAGAATCGGGGCAGACGTTGGGCCCTGCCACACGTAGCGCTTCCATTTAATCCCAGTGAGATCAGCCTGAGGGGAGGGAAGGAAAACAACATCACACATGGAGGCAGGTGGTACCCCCACCACAAACAGCCAGGTGAAGGGAGGAAGGAAGGATTGGTGGCACAAAATTTAACAGAAATCGCGGTGGTGAGTTTTGTGAAGGGGAAATAAGCAGCAATCCTGGTTTAAAATCTCTTTGAATAACTGCAGGAAAGCGAGAGCTGCTCGTTTCCACTACACAGAGATTTGATTTAAAGTCAAAGAGGGAAAGACGAGTGAATAATGTAAATTATTCACAGACTGCAACTGCCCAAGCTCCCACACACTTGCCTTAGCAAAGGACATCTTTCTTTTCACTTGCTTATGCACACACTACCTTTCCAATCCAAGATTACCCCGTGGAAATAGGTAATACAGTAAATCTAACCCAAGCACACATTCTTCCAGCCATCCACTCCTTTGGAAAATTTCACAAGTTTCTCCATTGTAAAACATTCTCTGCATCTCCCCCAGGAAGCCTCTCGAGTTCCCTGATTTCACCAGGAGCTATCATACTTTTCATTCCTCACACCACATCCCGAGAACTTCAATAATAATTTTATCATTAAATTACACGTTAGACCTGCGTCCACATCGATTACGAGCCACTAGACCCCCTTCCAGGCAAAAATTAAATTCGATTTATCCAGGGAAAGAGGCCCTACTCTGTCTAGCGGGAAACACAATTCCTGGATTATCTACATGGCAGCCCCAAGTTTTAGCGCTGAGTTTTTTCACCCAGTCACCTTAGGGCAGGTAGGGGAGGCACTGCCCCGGGTTCTCCTCCAGGAGGGACAACAAGGCAGGCTGGCATTTGCTAAGAAGTTACTATTTTTTGCCTCCCCGGCATGACAACACACAAAAGATTACTGCAACATTTAAATGTAACATGGCAGCCTCCCCACCTTCAGCAGGAGAGCAATTTGGATGAAAGGTTGCCTGCAACAGTTGATACTTTAGAAACACTTACAGATTTAAAAATACACTGTTAATATGGGGCTGCGGGCCTGGTGCAGGCTGCAGGCACGTTCAGATCCCCCTCCATCCGAAAATATTAGTGCCACAGCTTGGCACAGGATGGTTGTAACAATCTCTAGAATCATAAATATCAGGCAGTCAGCTAAGATCAGCTCATTTGCATTAAAAAGCTGATGAAACAGCTCAGCACAGCCACCAAAAATTGCATCACAGGCCAGTTATAGCGAATTCACTTCGGGAGCCACCAAAAATCAACAATGTGAGCGACTTGATACTTGGGTTAAAAAGGGCTACAAAATGGTGCACATCAAAACACAGAGACAGCACCGATCCCAGGGAGGGCATCACCAAAACCAGCCCTCCAGGATCAAAACAAGCAGCGAAAGGGATCCGTCTAAAAGCAAGGCAGAAGGGAGGTTTCGGCTCGGCTTTTGGGATGTCACGAGCGGGGAGAGGAGAGAGAAAGTTCCCCGAGATGTGGGGCTGGAAGGAGCAGGGGCAGGAGATGGGAAGGCAGGGGATCAGAGGCGGGCAACGGGGAGAAAGGAGGAAAAGTTGGGAGGCACGGAAAGGGAAGGAAAAGGCGAGTTGCAGGGAGGATACTATCCAGGAAGAAAGCGGAGGGAGGGGCGAGGCGAGACAGACAGCGATGGAGGGGGAACCAGAGGGGCATGGGAGAGTTGGCTGCTCCAGGCAGGGCCTACTCCGAGGGCTCATCCAACAGAAGCTCTGCTAAAAATGGCTGCTTTGCTTCCACTGCCCCTTCCCCCTCCCCCAGAGCTCGGCTCCCTTCCCTCCGTGTCCCCGGGCGGCTGCGAGCCCGGGGCCGCCACTCACCAGGCAGAAGAGGTTGGAATGGCAATCCTCCAGGCTGGCCCCGTTCGGCACGAAGCAGGAACTCATCCTCACAGCCACAACCCACACGCCATTATCCCACAGCCTCCGACAAGAAAGAAAGAGACAGCCAGGGAGAGAGAGAGAGAGAGAGAGAGGGAGAGGGAGAGAGGGAGAGACAGACAGCGAGAGGGAAAGGGGGAGGGGGGCTCCGCACACGCACAAATAATAATACAATTAAATAAGGGATTTACACGCGCGCGCACGCGAAATAGTGGCAGGGGGAATAAGGACGAGAGAGGGGGGTAAAAAAGAATATATTAAAAAAAATGATTTAAAAAAAAATTTTTTTTTTTAAAGGAAGTCAGAACGTTTTTCTCGTCTTCTGGAGCTCCACCGGGGGGGTAAAGCCACGGTGGAAGGGGAGAACAGAAAGAGGGAGGTGGTAAGTAATCCAACGACGGGAGATTAAGATCAAAATCCTCCCCGTTCCTCTTGTCTTCTCGTTCGCATAAGGAGGGGAGGGAGAGGAGGTGAGGTGAAGGGGTAATTGATCCAACAAGAGAATAAAAATGGGGTAATTAATCCGGGGGGGTTAGGGGTAAAAATCAGTTGACATCCCTCCTTCCTCTCTTCTCAGATGCCAAGCAAGAGAAGTAGGAAAACATAAATAATCCAGCGGGGGCAATTAATCCAGAACCCCCCCTCCTCTTCCTCCTGTTCCTTTAGTCATCAGATGAGAAAGGGGCAAATTGTGGAATGACTGGGAAGGATTGGCCGTGGGAGAGAGAAAAATCCAGGCTCGTCTCTTCGGAGTCCGAGGGCAACAGGGTGTGGGGGGGTCAGATTCTTCTCCCCTGCTCCAAAAATATTCCAAATAAATTAAAATTTAAAAGCATAAAAACAAACTTCAGGGACCAGAAGCAAGGCCAGTCTGAAGAATTCGTAAAGGCAGAGCGAGAAAAATTTCCTGGGGTGTACCCCAAAAAAACATCTGCGGGGGCAGGGGAGGGGGGAAGGTATTCCTTGAGAGAGAAAGGCCGCAAAAGTCTCCTCAGCAGCCCAGCGGGGGATTAAATTCCCGTGTGGAAAACACCCCCCCCTCCCCAAAACGAAATAGTCTTCGCAGCGAGGGCGAAACCAAAATACCCTCCGTCGGGTAGAAGAAAAAAAAAAATCCTTCCGTGGGGAAAGGAGGGAGGGGGAGAGGGGTGGAAGGAGGAAATTGCGGGTGACCCTCGAAGTCTCTCCGGGGAAGGATGGAGGAGTCTCCGGGAGGCCGATCCCCGTCGGGGGAGGAATCGCAGAGTGTCTTCGGGGGGGCTCGTCCCCCCCAGCTGTCCGCGGGGGCCGGGGGACCCCCAAAAGTCTCTGGAGGGAGCGCGGACCCCGCCGAGTCACCGCGGGCAGCGGGGAGGCGACCCCCGCCAGAGCCCGGGGGGCGGCGGGGCGGGGAGGGACCAGCCCCGCGGCGAGGCCGGTCCTTTAAAAAATAACGAGGAAAAAAAAAAAAAAAAAAAAAAAGAAGAGAGAGAGGGAAAAAAAAAAAAAGAAAAAAAAGGGAGGAGGGGGGAGAGGAGGAGGAGAAAAATATGAAGCGATGGTCTTGGTCCGGCGCGGCGCGTCCCGCGGGGGGCAGCCCGACACCCCCCGCTCTCCTCAGGTGCGGGTCCCGCGGGGGCGGCGGGCGGAGGGTCCCCCTCCCCGGGGCTCCCGGGCAGGGCGGGGAGGCGATGGCCGAGCCCCGGGCTCTGCTCAGCCCCGAGGGGGTCGGAGCCCCGCAATTCCCGGCGCCGCCGACACACACAGGGACGCGGCGGCCGCCGCTGCTGCTGCCGCTGCCGCTGGCGGAGTCGCTGCCCGCAAAGCCCCCGCCGGCGCGTCGCCCTCCCCTCAGCGGTGCCTCTGTCGGCGGCTGCCCGGCCGCGGCATCGTGTGGCGGCGGGAGCCCTGGGCGCGGGTCCCGCACGGCCGGGGCGGGAGCGGCTCCGGCTCCCGGGTAATTCCGAGACCCTTTTTCTTTAATGGCGGCCACAGGGACGGCGGCCGGGGCCCCCCTGCCGCGCTCCCATTGGCCGCCGCGCCGTCACGTGGGCGCGCTCCGCCATGGCGGCGGGGGGGGGCGGGGGCGGGGGCGCGCAGCGGCCGCCAGGGGAGCGCGCGGCGCTGCCGAGCCCCCGCCCTGCCCGTTGGGCCGGCGCCATCTAGCGGTGGCACCGCGGGAATGGCGCGGAGACCTCGGGGCCGCCGGTTCGAGTCCCGCCTCGGCCCGGCCCGCGGCTCCTCACGGGGTGGGCCGGGTTGGAGGGGTCGCAGCGGGGCACAGAATCACGGAATCACAGAGTCAAAAGATCTCGGAGATCATCGAGTCCAATCTGTGACCCCACAGCACCTTGTCACCCAGACCATGGCACTGAGTGACACGTCTGGGCTCTGCTCAAATGCTTCCAGGGACGGTGACTCCACCACCTCCCTGGGCAGCCCATTCCAATGTCTAATCACTCTCTCTGTGAAGAATTTCTTCCTAATGTCCAACCTACACCTCTCCTGGCACAGCCTTCTTGTCCTATTGCCTGGGAGCAGAGCCCAACTTCCCCCCTCGCTGCCCCTTCCTTTCAGGGAGTTGTAGAGAGTGAGGAGGTCTCCCCTGAGCCTCCTCCTCTCCAGGCTGAACACCCCCAGCTCCCTCAGCCTCTCCTCACAGGACTTGTGCTCTAGACCCTTTCCCAGCCTCATTGCCCTTCTCTGGACCTGCTCCAGCCCCTCAACATCCTCCCCAGACTGAGGGGCCCAGAGCCGGACACAGCACTCAAGGTGTGGCCTCGCCAGCGCTGAGTCCAGGGGCAGAGTCACTTCCCTGCTCCTGCTGCCACACTGTTCCTCATCCATGCCAGGATCCATTGGCCTTCTTTGGCCACCTGGGCACACTCTGGCTCATGTTCAGCTTCCTGTCAATCATCTGGTCCCACCTCCCTGCTCAAGGAAAGTCATCCCAGAGCACATGGCGCAGGGTTACACCTGGAAAATCTCCGGCGATGGAGACTCCACACCCTCTCTGGGCAGTGTGTTCCAGTGCTTGGTCACTGCACAGGGAAGTTCTTCCTCATGTTCAGGTGGAACTTCCTGGGCATCAGTTTGTGCCCATTCCCTCATGTCCTAGTGGTTGTCACCAACCTGGTCCATCTTCTTGGAACTCCCCTTCACATACTTATCCCCAGGCTCCTGGCCCCTGATCCCATCAGGATCCACTTCTGAGTATCATCCCCAGGCAGTGCTGGGCCAAAGTCCGGGCACAGAGTGTCCCATGGGCACAGGGAACACCTGCCCTGGCTCCCTTTCCACAACTTCCACTTCTTGGCAGAAGCTTCCCGAGATTGTGCTGGTTCTTTGCACTGAGGAGCAAATTCCACACTCAGGATCTTGGAGCCTTTTTAAAAAGACAGGCAGGTATTGGGAATGCTGGCATTAATATTTAACGCAGGCATTAATGCTCTCACTAGTCCCACAGCCATCCTCCCTGCCAAAGCAGAACATACTCCAAAATGCAGTTTTTTTCATGCCCAGATACATATTGTGCAGTTCGAAAGGATGAAGTAGGTGGTTACTCTGTTACTATATGCACAGATTTGCAGAAGGACTGTGAGATTATTCAGAATTAAGATGCTACAGTGACAGTGAAAGCTATTTTTAAGAGATATTTGGAAAGTATATGCATCCTGTTAATCTTCTCATATTACACATTAATTTTCTATGCAATGCCTTGCATGTAGAATGGAAAATTTTAAGTTACTATATATACGCAGAATTTTCTGACTGAGGAGTTAAAATGAAAATACAAACCAGTGCAAGGCACCTGGAGGAAAAGGAAGGCCTGAATGTCTCAGTTAACGTGACACTCACACTAAAATATGATCCGTTGGTGCAACAGCAGCACGATGCATCACAACTGTGCAACATGATGATGTTTCAAAGGCCCTGGCAAATTATTTCAGGACTCCTGAACAAGACGAGCGACAATCTCCTGCAAATGTCTTGATGGAGTAGGAGGAAAGAAGGACACTCTATAAATAAACTTATAAGTTTAAAAAAAAAAAAAAAAAAGCCAGGCTGGGTATTTTCACCAAAAGAAACTTTGAAGATTTACTCACACTGAGCCTATTTTTGCATGTCAGTGTAGGCAAGCAAGATTCTTCTTTTCATCTAAATAGACCCAGGGTATTTTTAACGCAGGGGATTCGTTCCCTCGCCGCTCATCGAAACACGGCAGCTGGGGCCGGAGCGGGATCGGGGGAGGGCACGGGGAACCAAACCCCCTTCCAAGGGGAACAGATGGTTTTCTCCGTGGTGGCTGCACATGAGGACCATGGCAAGAGGAGGATTCACTCCAAACATGCTCCTCCAAGGCTGCCCAGGGCCACACCAAGACCTCAGAAGTTCTGGCGCCGCTGCCGTCGTTAGCGCGATTATCGTCCCACGTGGAGAGAGGTTGGGAAGTCACCAGTCCTAAAGGAGCAATCCCAGGCTTTGAAGGAAATAAAAGAAAGCAGCATTTGGCATTAATACACAAGAGCTGGTGTGTTTTACCTCTAAGAGGGAAAAGAATCCTGGGATTTGGTAGAGGGAATGAAATCCAGCAGGATGGCTCAGCGTGGGCTTGAGGTGCTCTTGAGTTTCCCCATTGATTTCAGGATGACATCGAGTTTTCCCTGGCTGGAAATCCATTTCTTTAGCCTCAAACAGCACAGCTCAATGTCTGGGAGAGAGGATCAGTGTCTAATACTGGCTTTGGCACTGATTCACCTCCCAGTTTGGAGGAACCCAGCCCGTGTGTCTCAGTTTGGGATCCAGTTCGTTGGGCCTGACATATTCATCACAACAAATCCTTCAACAGGATCCCAACACGGTCAAGTGCAGAACACAGTCTTCCCAGTAAACCCAAACATTACTAAAACATCAACAAAAGAGGAAAGAAAACTAACACATCAGCTAAAGAATTTTTAAGTCACACCTGTCCTGACTGGGAGCCACCAGCTTTCCCAATTCTACCTACAGCCCTACAAAGCAGGAAGACCCGATGGAGAACAGTCATATCCATGCTTGGCAAATTTTGGACCTTGGACATCACTTGCCCTTTGAATACTGTACGTGTTTTTGGGGAAATAAAACCTCCTGGAAAACGGGGAGGAGGCAGATGAAAACAAAGCACTGTGGAAAAAACGCTGTTGAAAATAGGCTTTGTTTTGTGGATGGGTTTTTACAGAGTTCTCATCTCTGCAACTTCCAGAAGTGCATTAAGCTGCATAATTAGCATCTGTCACATGTAGCCTTTCCCTTCCCTCTTCCTCTCCCTAGAGGGAAACTGCATGGAGAATTTTTAATATAAATTTTAGTATCTACGCTGTGCAGTGCAATCATATTAGGAAAGCTACAGGCAAGTCAGTTTGTGCTCAATCTTAGGTTTATCTTTGTGTAATAGAAACTTCACTGGTTAAAAAAAATCTGCAGCTGCTCCAATTTAAAAATTAACTACTCTCCTGGAAAGACAACAGGGGCAAGGGCAAGATGGTCCCTGTTGCATCAGATTGAAACCAATGGAATTGTCAGGAGCTCAGCAGTTAATGCCAGTCTCTCATCCTGGTGTTATATCCCTATTTCTCATGGAAACATCCAGCCAAAAGGAGTAAAGGATGGATGATTTTCCACTTCGGTCAAAAGTATTTATTTTGAAAGGAATATTTATATTTTTACACCCATTTAAAAAAAAAAAAGTAGGAATTCCTATTGCTCTTTCATTCACATCAAAAGATACTGTTGAATATAACAGTCAATGGACTACAGCATCTTCTGGTGAATCTCTGTAAAAAACTTAAAAGAAGATGCTGCCTTTTAGAAATAAAGAATAAATGGAAAGAAATGCAGCTTAACAATAGCAACATGAAAAACAACAACATTATTCAGCCTTTGATTTCCATTCAGACTCTCTCCTACTTTTTCAAAGTATTTACGTTCTACTTAATTATTCAGAGAAAATTGAGGTTGTAGGACTGAACACATTGCCAAGAACCTGAGGTATGAAGGGAAGACCAAGTGCTTCGACTTCAGAGGTGGGAATTGTTGTAATTGGTCCATGTGAAGCAGATCCATCAAGCAGTGGAGAGTTCAAACTCGTGCCAGTCAGTCCCTGGTTGGCACCAACAGTTCTATCAGGAGGATACAGAGGTCTCAGCAGGACTTATTATTGGCAACTGTTCAACACTTCTCCTCTCCAAGTGGTTTCAAGGGGATTTGGGTGGGAGGGAAGATAATTTTTAACAAATTAAACTACCTAAGAATGGCGAGGTGCCCAGAGCCACCGAGGCTGTGTTAGTCACTGCTATCCAACAATTATAAAAAAGAAGATTAAAAATATCATTGCTGTAAAAATTGCCTACCTGGCTTTAACAACACGATCAGATCACTGCAAAATTACCCAAAAAACTGTACTAAAAGTATGTGTAAAATATGTCTGGGGTAAATGGGAGAGCAGAGCATTCACACAGGGTGTGTTTCTCAGAAAACATCCACCTCAAGTTACCAGAATCCAAGTATTCCTATAAGGTTTCAAGAAATTAGAAGACCACTTAATTTTTAAATTAAAAAATTACAACAGAAACATTACTGTTTGTTTCCCATTAGGATTTCTCTCCCAGCATTTGGTAGGTGTCCATAACTGGGGTGTAAACCAAACTGTGGGAGCTTTCTGCCCTGGGCCACGTTGATGTCCAGCTGCTTTGTTTAGACCCTGCCAGAAAGCCTTTTTCAAATGGGGAATATGTCATTTTTCAGCAGAGGTCTCCAAGAGAAGATTTGAGTTTAATGCACAGCAATAAAAAGAGGAATATGAGGATTCTTGCTCTCTTTAGTGTCAGCTTTGGTTAAGACGTATGAATGCACATGAATAGTCTTGTCAGAATCTCTGGGGCTACTGACATTCAAGATCTAACATATTATTCCTTCTGACCAGAACAGTAACTGCTATGCAGGGAGGAGAAGGGACAGAGGAAAAAAAAAGGATAAAAAGATAGGACCACTCCCTAATCACACAGAAATTGTTATGTGTTTCCCTGGCTGGAAATCTCTGAACAGAACTTCTCTGCTGTGAAAATACAATGCTTATGTTCTCCAATCTGAGAGGAGGGGTTGTACAGCCTCTTTAAAATCTGCAGCAGGAGAAACAAAGAGAAATCATCATTTAATGCCTGATCTTGCTCATTTAATTCATGGAAAGGATCCCAGTTAACTCATAAATAAAGACTGTACAGGCAAGTGTTACATCCCTGTAAAGGACACGTGTTTATCCACCAGAAGAAAGCTTCTTGCATTTTGAGCTGCTGACCTTATATTTCACTACTGAAAGTTGCTTTGAATCACTAGTTTCAGCCACAAATAAGCTAATTAAACAATTTAGTTAAAATAACATAATGTTAATTCAAATGTCAATGTGTATCAAGTCTGGATACCACTACAATGGAAAGGTTTGTTCACCAGAAGCAAAAATCTTACAATGTGCTTCTGGCTGAGTTAACAGAAACTACATCTCAGATTGTTGTTGTTGTTGTTCACAATTTGTTGCCAAATAAATTGAAATTATTCAAAAGCACCGAAATCAGTTTAATCACTGTTTGTGCTCTGAAATTTGAGCTGAGTGAGCACCTTTCACTTAGAGAGCAACAAAATATCCTGAATATCCTGAACATCCTGCCCTCCGTGACTGAAACCACCTTCAGTCCCCATTCAGGAGCTCCAGCCCATGAGACAAAGGAGTGGATTTGTTTGGAGCAATAAATGATAGCAGACCTTTACATATTTGAAGTGCAACAGATGGTCTTCCAAGGAGAACAGAATGACTGGCAGACAGTTCACTTCGTTAGAGTGGCTTGGAATGTCTTCAGCAATTACCCAGGGAGTGTTCTGGGGGGAAGCCCTGTCATCCCTCTGCTTCTTCTCATGGAAAATAGCTGGGATTTCCTGCTTTAGATGCTGGAAAATTGTATCTTCTAAAACCTGGCAGTGACCTGGAAAAGGAAGAACCTTTTGGCCATTCCAAAGCTCTTCAAGATGAGGCTCCGGATATTTTGCCACCTGAGAAGAGAGATGTAAGTAGAAAATAAATCAGCATTAATAGGAAACACTTTTGGGGCTTGTAACTGTAAAATTATTAATCCATAGCTAAGTATCCCATGGAAGTGGAATTTATGAAGAAAGGAAGGTCTGACACAAGGTCCTTTTAGAAACTGGGAGCTCTATAGATACAACAGGCAGAGTGTCTTGAGGAGAAAACCCCAAAAGACCAAATTACTAAATAACAACCTCCTTCCTTTGGGGAAGTGGTGGCTTCTGGAGACTTTTCCTCCACATGAAACACTGTGGCTGCAGTTCTTCAGGGCAGGGTAAAGGGAGCTTTTTTGAGGTTGTCCAGTCTTTCCATTTTCATAGTTCCACAAGCCAGCAATTAAGAATTATAATAGACCAAACCAGCAATAAAATGCTGAACTTTAATACTGTATATTCAGGTTAGAAAAATTTAACTTCTACCCCTCCCTCCCACCCCCCGAAGTCCCAGAATTAGTCATAAAACCTTCCCCACCGAATCCACCCCGAGTAAAATTTTATGGGGCAACATAAACACAACAACAACAAAAAAAATGTGTCCTTTAACAATGTAACTTAAATGTTGATGGAATCATAACTGCATCGCTCCCCCTCCAATTAGCAGCAGAATTCTTTATGTTTGCTTACGAAGCGTGAACCGTTCGCTTGTCACTACAAAGACCTTCTGTGGAGGACTTAAAAAAAACAACCAGCCCCAGCAATTAAAATGACAACAACAGAGGTGGACTGGGCACAATGAGACACAAAAATATCCAGCTGTTTCTTTCCAGAGAAAGGATACACCAAATATATGAAATACTAAAATTTGTGACCAAATTTTGACGGTCCAGAGGATGCCGGGGGATGTTCCGGCGAAAATATGGATTTCCAATAAATATAGATTAATATAGAACTAAATCTAACCTCAGTTTTTCCACACCATCAGGATTGGCACTCATCTTTTTTTATCCACACAAATTTCCCTTTTTTTTCTTGCCAGAACCATAGATATTCTGTTTGGTGGGAAAATCTCTCAAGATGAGATAAATGTTGGGGTTTGTCCTCGAAGATAAACAAGGCAAAAAATTATCTGAAAGGGTTAAGGCTGATAAATCAGACTTTAAACTTACTTACTTTGGTTGTGTTAAAAACATTCTAGGAGTTTATGAAGACCATAAGTCTCATTACAACCAATCTATTATTTATTAAAAGAGAACCTCTGTTACAATTATATCTGTCTGCTGCTGGTTCCTGCCTGTTCTGCTTCCCAACAGTAATAAGATGGGAAGTTATTTGTAATACATGTAGGGAATTGTTTTAATCATTTTAAACATATATTTAAATAATAAATCTGAAAAGTAAATGTTTCAGGTTAGTTGAGATTATAGTGATTATATATATATATAAAAAATACATATCCTGATGAAGTAACTTTGATTTCTAATACAGGAAGAAAAACAGTGAGAAAATAACTGACACACAGAGAACCAGCCACTCAAGGGGTAAGAAAAACCCAAACACTGTCTAGAGAATCCACCTCCAGACACGTTCTTGGAAAAAAAACCTGATGAGAGAATGATCAGGAAGATTTTCACTGCTGTTCCTTTCCTGGAAGTTTCTGTCTCTCAGAACAGCACAGGCATGGCAAGGGCTGTGGCTCAGAATTCATCCCTGCAGTGTATTTTGCACATCAAATTGATTATCCATGACTTCTTAGGCAAACACAGGAATGCAGGAAACATGTCAGCTGTTATATATGGAATATTTGGGCCTTTCACTCCTTACTTTACATTTAGAAAGAGGAGCAGATAATGAGCTCAAGCATCACCTTGAGAATAAATTTCACTTGCAGGTTCAGAAGGATCTCTGGCTCTTCATGTGTTTAGTGAACCAGAACTTCCAGGTAGCTCAGAACATTTGTTTTCTGAGCTGTGTTTGTCTCCAGAGCAATTGCCCTGAGTGGGCAAAGGCTTTAATGTCTTCATCCCCTCAGCCAGGAAGCTCTTCATGAGCTGAGAACTCACAGACTCAAAGCAATCCCTGCAAAAGAGAGAGGACAAGAAAGAAAAAAAAATAAGAAAATAAAAAGCTGTCCTTTTCCTCCCCTAAATTCCCAGAATTCATCTTCAGATTCATGCCTGTGGCTAAATAAAACTCAGACTGTAATATCACCCTTCTCTGTGTTTCATCTGAAATAATTGCTTGACAACAAACATCTCTTCCTCGGTGAGTATTCTGCAGTGAATTTATTCACATCAGGAAAAACACATCAGAGAGGTGTCTGGTTTGAAAGTTTGCAAATCAGACACCAATGACAAACAAAATAGTGTGACAGCACAGGCAAGACACAACCTGGAACCATTCTGGGGACACACAGACACCTCTGTCATCCACAGCCACGGGAAATATTAGAATGCCAAAAGTTTGGAAATCAAGAAGTTTTGACAAACCAGTAATTAACCCTAAGTCATAATAATGATATTAACTGTAATAATAATAATGGATCTTTGAACAATATGCCATCAATCTCATTATCTTTTGCAGATCTTTTCTATTTAACACAATGGAAATGTTCCAAGTGGCATCAGACACCATTTTTACTGAGACAATGAGCACAACCCTGACCTTTCACTGCAGGGAAAAAGGTTATCCCAAAGGCAAGACAACCCAGCAGCCACAGAGCAGGACATTCCACCAACACCTGGATCCTGACAACACCAACTTCTGGGATCCAGCACCTGGAAGTACAAAGGGAATAACCCCCCCCTTCTGTCAGGTAGAGCAGGAGCCTGTGTCAACAGGAATCACACGCTCCCACTCTTGCTCAACAGATGTACTTGAACCAGAGATAAGGGATTCAAAAATCCAGGGAAGGAATGTGCAAACCCTGCGGCCTCCTGTGCCTCCTTCCACGCAGGGAAGGGCTCTCCAGGCAGGATCAGAACACCTCATTCCGTAGTAAGTGGGGAAAAAAAAATGAGGAAAGGAAATCTTGCCCATAAACGATCCATTGTAGCAGTTGGGAGGAGAACCTTGATAAAGCACGAGCACAGATACAGCCAATACAGACAGAAATTAGAAGATAATAAGTACACTCACCACTGAATCAAACTGGAAGTAAATCTCTCTCCTGAGGAAGGGTTTAAGACTATTTTCCTTTTTTCAAATCTGTGTCACCACTGAAGCCCCATAAATGAATATTCCCTCGCAGATAAAGTGGTTGTCTTCACCTTTTGGCAGATTTACAAAACAGATCCTGCAGGGAGGTTTTGCTCTGTGAGCAACCTCCTTGAAGAGTGAGGAGAAAACAGGAGCTAAAATCACTTGCACAATCGTGTTTCACAACTCTTCCTACAGTGGCATTGGTGCTTCCCCTTCCCAAGCAGAAAAATGAATAAATTTTCCTCCCTTTTTTTTCCTAAGAGGGGAAAAACCAATCCTACTTTTCCTTGGATACACAGAGAGTTTGGAGGAGCTCAAAACAATGGAGCCCTGTGTGCCCCACTCATCACACAGACACTGCAACAAGAGTGGCAAAGAATGCACAAAGTGTGTAATTACTGTTTCAGGAGATAATTCCATTATTAATACATCCCCAAAGATTGCAGGCACACAACTGTGCTTTAATTAGATGGTAACTGGAGGGGGTTTGAATTCATGAGGTAATAAATATGTTTTGGACTAACAAACTCCAAGGCTGAAGCGTTTATTAATCTAGAATATAAAGATTACATAGTTGATAGGAGACAACCTCAGGTTGTGCTGAGATGCCTGTTGTTGATAGATTTTAAAATTAATATTGTCTGCCTTTTGGGAGCTCGAGCAGAAAGCCAAGATTGCTGGGGATGGTGCTGGAAAACACAACAAACTGTCCAACAACTCCGTGTTCTCACAGGCAAAGACTATTTAAGTCCGAGCAGATGTTGTGTTTTTAAAGCTTCACCTTTTAATCAATTTGTCACCTCATCAAGTGCTGCAAACAAACTGCCTTCTGACAGCTCTCAGTGCCTCATTCTGAGGGTAAAAAGGACAGATTCCTTTACCAGACTAACAGATCCCTCCTCTGCTCCCCTCAAATCCTCAATCCCATCTCTATTTTCCTGCTTGTGGATTCACCTGCAGGACCACACCACGACCACGTGAACAAGCACATCAATTTTTGTGTCCCATTGAATTTTCCTTCCCTTCCCATGGCTGTATAAACTGTTTGCCTCCTACAGCACATTAAGGATTTGGAAACTAACTGTTCACTGTTGGGAGGATTTATATCCCAACCAGCTGTGCCAAGAAGTCAGAGGAATCAAATGGTCTAATCTATTAACTTGTCCTTGGGTAGTTCCAACTAGAGCTTTATAAATTGCTGGAGAGTTCAGTCCATTTAAACTTCATTTCTCTGTTGGTTGGGAAGTGTCAGTGCCCCACACAGGCAAGACAGAAGACCAAATTTAGCCCAGGAAAATGTGGGCATGATTGAAGTCAAGGCCAGGTTGTTTAAGCCAAAGGTAAATTTAGGCCTGAGGGAACTACAGAGGGAAAAAAAAGAAGGAAGAAACATGAGGAGGAGTAACTTGTGGTACCTTGGAGGGGAAACAAGGCTGACAAATGCAAAGGGAATTCTGTCCATACCTGAGGGAGTGATGGAGCTGTGGCATTGCTGGACAAAAGCAGGGGAATCTTGGATGTGCCAAAAGAGCCACAGCACCCTGGGCAGGAGCCAGGAGAGGAGGAAAGGGATGGGGCACATCCCATTTAATGGGAAGGAAAAACCCTTCCCTGGCTTCTCTGAGCCAGTCCATGGTGAGTGATCACAGTCACAAAGTTCCATTTCTGAGGGATGTAAAGATTTAAAGGTATTTAGGAAAATGTTTATTAACCAGCTTAGGTGATCCAAAGACAACTGGTCACGTGTTCAGACACTTCCAGAGGGGCAGAGCAGAGGCCTCCCACCAGCTCTGGAGAAAACTCCCCAGATAATTCAGGGAAGATGATGAAGAGCCCTTTCCAAAGCTCCTGCTTTTCCATTCCCAGGTTTATAGACTCTCCCCAAGTGAAACAAGCCACAGAGCCAAGTTTCCAATATTAAATCTCTAGGCAGCATGTTATTCACACAGCTTATGGAGATGTCTTTACCCTCTGGAAAAACAAAGTTTAAGAAAAATGGCTCTATCTTTGGGGAGCAGTTTAAGTCTCAGGATAACTACGTTAGGAAATCTCACTCTATTACTTCCTATCTTGCATTTTATTACTAGATTGGTAATAGGAAATTACCAAATAAAATTGGTATTTTACTTGGTAATTTTTTTCCATGGGCCTCGTCTAATATGAAAGATGGTGATCATCAAATTTATTCAAGTTTTCCTGTCAACAACATCATTAACCAAATCCCTCAATTTCAAAGTAAATAAAAGCATCTGGGCTTCTGCACAGCAAGACTGACTTGCATATTTAAGCCTCATATATAGATGAATCTGCACTGGACCAAATTTGCATATTAATGAAGGACTAATTGCTCTTTGCAGTCAATTTTATGCAGATGAATTTACTCCTCTCAGTACAATTTTCATAATGTTCAGAAAGAACCAAAAAAATGTGAAACTTTTTAAAAGTACACAAATGTTAGACAATCGAGGAAGAAATATCATAATGACTTCCAACAGCTTTACATTAAGTTGTATATAATTCATCTTTTATACTGTTGCTTTATTTTAACAGCCTCCCACAAAGAACAGAACAATCCATGGAATAACTTCAGCCTATTCCCCCTCCTCAGTCTCAAATTTTAACAGCTTGTAACAACCCATTATATTCTCTGGTTTCCAGCTGGAAGGATGGAGCCTGAATTTTTAGGAGAAGTTAAATTTGCTAAGCAGGAATTTGCTTTCTCCCGGTCCCCCCCTCGTGCCACAGGTCAGTCAGGAACTTATTTTTAAGGAATTTCTACCCAGTTTTGCACTATTAAGAAAAAAACTCGAGGCCCAAATCCCTGTTCGGTCTCTCCTGGTCCAAAATACCAAGAAAAGGAGAGGAAAGTTCAGGGGAAAGAAAAACATCAATAAATGCTGAGGGAAAATGGTAACATTGGGGGGAAAAGGGAAAAGATAAATACTGGAGTGGAAGAGGAAAACAAGTGGAAATGGAAAGAGAGAAAAGTGATGATTCAATGTGTCCACTCAGGTCTGGGTAGAAAGAGGAAAACTGAGGGATTTGGGAGAAAGTTCAAGGCAAAGTGAACAAATAAAAGACAAAAATGCAGCCACAAATGTAAAAAGAAAAAGATAATGAACCCAGAAATAAAGTGAGAATCGAAGAACACGCGATGCATGAAGAAAGAGATAAAAGAAGACACAAAAAAATAGAGTTTTTCCTAATTCTGCCAGAACAGAAGGGCAGAGTCAGTGGAAATGCATCAGGAATGTGAATTTGCATGTATAGCCTTCCTCCTGCCAAAGAAAAGAGCCTTATTTTAGCTGTGAAGGCTGATAACCATAATATTGATATGTATCATAAAATCACTCACAGAAGATCATTTGAATCAGCGAAGGAACAGCACCAAAGTTACATCTTTAAATGACTTGGAGGCCTTTGGTGGAAGGTTCACGTTCACCACATCTGCCACAGCTCAGCATTTTCTGCCCTTCTCTCCAGCTTTTGCTGGTTTAACACATGGGTTTGAGGCTCAGAGTACTCACACAGATATGGGAGGGGTTTAGAGGGGTATCAAGAAGTCTTTTGTGGTTTTACTCCATTTCTCCTCTAATAATTCCCACCATCCTACTTGCTCTCTGCACTGAGCTCCCAGATCTTCTCTGATCCCATGACTTTGTTCCTGAGAAGCAATAAATGAAGAGACAGACAAATAAATAAATAATATTTCATGTTCAAAATTAAATAATCTTCAGTATAAACATCTTTGGCTGAGCTATTGGGTCTTTCCCAAAAAAGAATTAGGAGCTCCTGAGCTCCTGACCAGAAAAAGTCTCTTTGCCATCTCTCCTTTTGGTCTTTCCTAACAAAAGCCACAATATATGGAGCATTTTTAGGGATACATGAGCAATAAGGGCAATGGTTGTACCAGGCAAGATCCAGCCACTGCAGGGAGAAAAAGGGGAAAGAAAAAAAAAAGGCTTTAGGGCAGAAGAGTTGGCAGAAAATCTCAAACCAAGGGGAAGGACAGGGGAAAAAAAGACCAAGAAGCTTTCACTAGAGTTCAACAAAAGAACAGACCACAGAACAAAGACAAATAGTTATAAAATAATAACAGCAATAATTGGAAAAGAATGACAAATACTCCAGCAGGAAAATATTGGAATGCTGCTGCTGAAGAATTCTCACCGAGGAAACAGGGCTCAGTTCAGAGGGTCAGCCTGGAGCACTTGGCTTTTAAAGTTATTGGAAAACAAATTACAGCTCTTTGTGCTCCTTGAGTTCTGGATTATTAACTCAAAATGTTTTGCTCATTGACAGGAATGAAGGGAAATGTATCTCCTTTATAATTTCTGCACCCAGCATTTGAAAACCTGCCCTGGGCACCCTCCTTTCCTTCCCCCAAAAAATGTCTGGTTGAAGTGATTAATGCTGTGTGAATGTAAACACAGATAATTATTCAAACAAGAACAAGATGTTCCTCCCCAAATGATTGGCTCTTCAGGGGCTGAGGTGCCTAATTCTAATCACCAAGAAAGGTTAACCTGACCAGATTTAATTAGCTACTTAATACAATAATAAAGATGCATAAATAATGGGTGAGAAAGGGGCAGCACTGAGTCCAAACAGGTACCTCCAGAAGCACCAAGTCCAGGCTGTTATCCCATGATTGCACTAATGGGAGAATTCCCAAGATTTATGGCCACTGGACATAGTTTAGCACTTGGTTATGTGGAACATCACCTCTTTAATGTAGAGTTTTAATTATTATTAAACTAGCAAAAAAAACCCCAAGAAACCACATTCCTAAAATTGCATGATAAAATGAACCCAGGGGTATTTCTGTGCTTCAAACTCAGAGATGAAATCAGAGGGTTTGTACAGATTATTTGAGGACTACAGCCTTAAAATGAAGTTACTATTTCCTCCTCTGTAAATATATATATGGAAATATCAGAGAGATATTTTCAAGACTGTTTTCAGTGACAAAAACTACTCTTACTCTGGAATATTCCTTAGTAATGAAACAAAAGCTTTCTTTTACAATAATAAAGTAGTTTAAGTGTTTAAGTGTTATGTATTGGGAATGCTGCAAAATACATCCCATTTCAAAGGATGCTGGGAAATTTGATTAGCCTTGTACCTCTGGATAACATGGTCAGCACCTGCTGCTTGAGCCAGGTGGGATCTCAGCATTCCCAAATGATGAGGATTCATTTGGAGGCATCAAACCTTCCATTTTCATTCAGTAAAAGTTTAAACAGCCCTTAAAATAAACAACCCGGCGCAAACCCGACGGCTCCGATATTGATTTATTCCGTTCATAAAAAGTAACAACATCGTGGTAAATTCAATCCAGTCAATGAGAAGTTTATGAGCTTAAATACATCAAAAGGGCAATGAAAGCTAATATACAGTGATTAAATAACAATCTGGGAGGGGAAGACACCCAACTTTCAATTCCATGGCGCTGGAATCGAATCCTGACAAAAAATGGGGGCGTGAATTGTTTCAGAGGATTGTGCAGCCATTTGCCCTTTTTAAGAGCTTGGAAGTCCACAAGGCAAGATTAATTTATAATTTAACCAAAGTGCATCTCAAATAAAGGTTTTTGATCAAAATCTACATTTCTGTGCCTCCTGGCAGTGCCAGTGTTACTGGAACAGGACATCAGCTGCAACACCAGCGATTCTGGAGCAAACCCTAAACTGTAAATCAGTTTTGTCCTGCTTTAATATTGGTTTAACAATGAAAGAAGAACTTGGATGTTTAATATTTAAATAGTATAATTATCCCTTTAGAGCTAAGCCCAGGAGGACCCTCTGTGGGTACACAGTGTGCAACAACAACGAGGAGAACGTGGGTTTGCTGCCTGAGGAGGCTTTGGGTTGTTGGAAGGGGCAATTCCTGAGCTGAGGAGATGCCACAGGAACCCTTGGGCAGGGAAAGGCTCTCCCACAGAACTGAACAACAAAGCTGTCAGAGCAGGGAAGTGTGAACAACACCCAGGACAGAAATCATCCCCACCTTGGTTTGGAAACCCAGGCACAGTGGTTGCTTTTGAAATCAAAATCCCTTTCCATTTCCCCCTACTTCCTTTGTCACTTCAGGATGAGTGAACACAGCAAAACGTGGATTTTTGGGAGAAACATCTCAGTCATGAGCTAAGGATGGTCTCTGAACAGTCAGTGGAGTAGGAATGTCCAGATCCAATAATTTTTCTGGTTTGGGGGAAGGTTAGAGAGGAAGTTCTGCACCTGCACCACAACCAGGAGCACTGGGTGATTCCAACTGCAACTGTTTTTCCAATCACAAGAGCTCTTTGGAGCTCTCCAGTTCCAAAACTGGACGTGTTTGTCCAGGCAGATCCAGAGGATCCACGGATTACAAGGATTGCATGGACAGAGCACACATATATGTGTAACAAAGCTCAGGGCTGTTTATTACCTCCCCCAGATGGATCAGTCCACTCTGGGGATCTCTGCAGGCCTGTGAAATCAGGATGACGTGTCTGGAATTCTCCCTCTCTTCCCCACTGCTGAAGGAACTCAGGCAAATGCACGTTGGCAGCTCCTCTAAGGATTCCGACTTCCCCGTTTTCCAGAATAACTTCCAGCTGCATTAAACACAAACACACAAAAAAGAGGTAGAACAAACACTAAAGACTGACTCAAACACAAAATCCACAAAACCTGGGTAATTCTGCAGTGGAATCATAAGCAAACCACAATAATTTTGTTGGATTGTCCATGGGACACATCAATCTTTTAGGAGCAAAGGGATGTGGCTGCACTTCCTGAGGAAACTGAGGAATGGCAAAGACATCAAGACACCTCTAGACCTACTGGTTCCTACCAAATCCAGAAAAATCCAGTCTCCTGGGGGATTATAAGCCCCTGTTCAGACCAGCCCTGCCAAATGCAAAGTCTTCTGTATTAAAGAATCCTCTTATTCCATAGCTCCTGCTGCCCCAGCCCTGAAGTGCGTGGCTGCCTCACTCCTTGTATATTCATTTATTTGTTGCTGGGCATAAGAAAACCTTAAATCAGAACCCTCTGAAACACCAAACGAATCCATTTCCAATCTAAATTTTAATTCCCTATTTTACTCCAGCAGTGCATTTTTATCAGCAGGAATCACTTGGAGGAATATGCAATACAGAAGCTCTGTAGAACAACCGAAGGCATGAGAATGAATATAAAAATATTTACTCGGAAACTTCCATTTATTTTCCTCCAAATTGTAAAAAAAAAAATAAAAAAAATGTATTTGGTTGGTAGAAATAATGTGCAGACACAGAAACAGAAATATGAGGTGACAGAAGGGAATGGACCAGATCCTTGTGAATCAACTCCCTTTTACCAGGCACATAAAACTAAAGTGGCCTCAGCTTGATGTGACTGATACATCTCCAAAATGAATGTTAGACACGAAATAGCAAAAAGGCTGCTGAGCCAAATATATCTTAGGGAGATTTTTTTTTGCTATTATTCCCTTTCTACATTTTGAAAATATCCCTTAATGCTCTTTCCTTTCAGAAGGAAATGTAAGTCTCTCAAAATAATATTTCCAAGCTCAGCTGCAATCTCCTCCATGGTAATTCACTCTGGCTGCTTGTTACTCTTTGTGAGGAATAGATCTGCTGCAGAGGAGAAAACAACTCTGTTCTCCTGATATACTTCATATTCAAATCATTCCAAAGTGCAGAAAGGAGAAATGACTTAGATAAGGGCATGGGAAATGTGGAATTCATCCATGGCTTCTGTGATGAGCTCACCAGGCACTGAGAGAGCTGTGAGTGTTAAAATAAGGAGAAATTATACTGACCTAAATTCCAGAGTTATCATCACTACTTCCTTTAAAATGAATAAATAATTCAAATTATTTACCTTGCACTTCAGCAGTGTCCACTGACAAATATTTTGGTTTAATCTCTACCTCTGATTTCCATTAAAATACCTTTAGATTGCTACTGAGAGAGATGAGACTTTCAAAAGGATCTCCATGTGAGTTTTCTCCAGTTAAGAATTCCAAGTTCTTTCCTCTTTGTAACTGATTCAAAGACAGATGTAACACAGGTATCTCTTAATACCTCCTCTCTGAGATAATAACATTGTTTCTGTGTAGCTTTTCATAAAGTTTCCAGGTGAGAACAACACTGTCCAGTGCAGAGGGTCTGTGGTTCTGGTTCCTGCTCCCACAGAATCATGGGATGGTTTGGGCAGGGACACCTTCCACTGGCCCAGGTTGCTCCAAGCCCCATCCAACCATCCTTGGACGCTTCCAGGGATGGGGCAGCCCCAAGTCCCCGAGGTTCTGGAGCCCCTGCAGGTGAGGGATGAGCCCCAGGTCCCACCCCTGGCTGTGCCATCACCCCCTGTGCACAGCGAGGCTGCAGCAAACTGCAACCACGGGGTAACTCTCCTGATTAAGATGAGCCATCAATAATCATCTATTTTAAGTGCAGCATCCTATAAATCCTCCTAATTAGTAAACTAGATGTCTTCTTTTTAGCAAACAATCCCCAGCCTCCCTCCTTATTTATTTCCCTGGATTCAATTATGTTTGCACCTGCTGGCCCAATCACCTAAATGACACATTCTGGATGGAAGGGAGAAGCTGGGCCATAAACAATAATTTCATTAGAGTTCAATTTAAAATACTTGCCTGCACCTATTTTCTCTGCTTTGTGGAGAATGTTGATGCTGTTTCCTCCTCTGTGGCAGGAGACACAGCAGCACCAGGAAGAATTCCTTGCTCTTCCTGATTTATCCTTCACTGCCGACTCCATAGGAAGCAAAGCTGGGATTTTCCTGCAGGGGAAGGACTGTTAGAATAAAGAGGGAAGAAATGATTTCCAAGCTGGACTGAAAAACTGATAAAGGTCCAAAAATTTCAGTTGGTTGCTAAAAAGAGTCTTGGTAAAATAAAGGTGAGGAAATATTTCTTTGGAACTTAAAAAACAGAGTTAACAAAACTCAGTGTAGTGCCAGGAGTTGGTGAAAGCAATAATCCAGGTTCTTGAGCTTTCTTCCCACTTCCCACTATTAGAGGAGACATCAATCCACAGTTTACTTTATAACTGTGGAAAAAAATCCATTATATTTTCACATAACTAATTAAGATACATACAAGCACAAGTTATTCTGCAGCAACTCACTTATTCCACAATCCTGCATCTTTCATTTCACCAATCCTCTCCCAGATTTATTTCCCATTGACTTTCGCAGTTGGAAAACGAATGTTAAGCCAATATTGGGCAAAATTATTAATTTACCGTATTTACATTGCAATAAACAGCAATTTGGGTGACAGACAGGAGTTAATGCACCTGTGAAACAGCCACATGAATGTGTGGAGACAATTACAGGACCTATGGAAAGGTTCAAATCAGGGATCAGAGAGAAATGCATTTTGCAATTATATTTTAGCACTGTGGCACTTCTGCATGATAGAGAACAATTACTGTGTCATGATCTAAACAATGACACAGAGAATATTTATGTTGGCCAGGATTTCCTTGCTCAGTGCCTTTTATCTGCCCTGGCAGATGGGCACCTGAGGGACCCTGGGCAGGGCTCTCAGATGTTTTGCTGTAGCTTTTCAAATTTTCTTAGGTGTCAAAAGGAAAAAAAAATAACATTCTATTGCATATAGAAATATAGGATAAACTCTGCTCAGCTGCTGGGATGCATCCCAGAGGTTTAAACTGAGCTGGAAGGAGTCACAGTGCTCAGGATACACCCAAGCACGTGGCCCTTGCCCACAGCTCCTGCTCACACGTCTCCAGTTGATGTTCTCGAGGAATCCACTGTCCAAACTACAACTGGAAAAGTTTCTGAACACAAACACACACACACCCCCCAAGCAGTGTGATGTGATGAAGTTCTATCAAAAGCAGAAATTACAGTGGGAGACCAAATTTTCCAAATCCAAATGCCTGAAGTTACACATCCAGATCCTCATTTCCACACGTCATGAAACCTGTTTTTCACCAGACGTGCTCAAGTCTCCCCTTTACTCGAACTTTCTGCATCACTCAAAAAAAAAAAGCTTTTTATTTGGTATTTATCTTTGGATTTCTTGCCTAACTATCAAGTCCTATAATTTTCACCTATAATTTTCACCTATTTCAGCTGCCACATCAATATAAACGTGCCTGTCAAATGGAGCTTGAACAACCCCCAGCAAACTTTTGGTTTGTATTTTTGATGTGTGAGCAGCAGAGCCCTGGGTGACACTGAGGGACAGACATTTCCTCCTGCAAACAGGGAAGACAACACCAGGCTTTGAACCCTGCAATTAACAATTAACATGTTTAATTGTTAGAATGCCTTCTGAAAGTATGAGGAAGGTATAACGAGTCCAAGATGAATTCCAAGTGTTTCACTTCATTAGTAGTTCTTGCTTAAGCAATAAGTACTTTTGTAAGTATTCTTCCATTAATTCTTTCCATTAATGAAGAGAAGTAGTGCATGAGCTGGAACTCTTAAATTAAGATAATCATTATCATAAACAGCTGTTTTATTTGACAGTTTGAGGGATATGGGTGTGCTGTGATTTAGTTCAGCAGCTTCACTTCAGCTGAAGGCTCAGACCATAAGATTAATTGAATTAAACAGCCTTACCCTTGTCTCTAATTGTATCAATCATAAAATCACCATTTAGGGACAGAATCTTTAGGGTTTTTTTGTGATATAGGTGCAAACAGCTGCTGCTCCACTGGGTTTAAGTGCAGCCCTGCAAGAGCAGTGGACATGACAGCAAAGATAACACGTGTTGCTGAACAAGCAGCCCTGTTATCTGCTCTGAGCAGACACCAAGGAGCTGCAAGTGTCTCTTACCAGATCCTGCAGACAAAGCCTCCAGCAGGTTGGAAGTCAAACCCTTCACACTGTCATGTACCAACTTATAATACACCTGAAAAATAAGCACAGAGCCAACTATGATCCCGGTATGAAATGCAGGGGGAGAGGGGAATTCTTCCATGGAAATGCAGTGCCACGTTTGGAAACTAAAAGGACCTAAAATTAATTATGGAATTCCTCCTAAACCATCCCAGTGTGGCTGCTGCATTTACTCTGACTTCACTGTAAAAAAATGGCTAAATTTGCCCTTGCTTCCCAAAAGAAAATTAATTTTCAAATTAGGAGGAGGAGCACTCTAATTTCCTTCCAGAAACCTCTGCCTTCTGAATTAGTATCTGCATCCTAATTTTTCCAGCCTCATTTTTATACCCTCTTCACCAAGCTGTTGCATTCTGTACCTGATTAGGGGGCACGGGATATCCATAATATCAGTAACAGGATATCCAAAATCAGCAATTTTGCATCACTCAGGTACTGATTTTTCAGTGTTGCTGTTGCAGAGCACACTGAGAGCCTCAGGAATGTCTGGAAAAACAGGCTTGGTGCTGTTGAGGTCAAAGGAAAAATCTATCCCTGATTTTAACCCTGAAAAAATTATTGACACCCATTTCTCTGTGATACAGATCCTACAAATTCTGTAGGGAATGACCATAATTCCATAAATTATAACACATCAGGATCTCCTCTCCAACTCATTAAGTTCTACTAATGACCTGTATGTGGGCATAACTGACACAAACAATTATT